GCCAAAATGAAGGCAGCGAAAGAAACAGAATGCAGAGATAACATGCCTTTTTATCCCATTTCAGTCATCCACTGGACATATCAGGCCCCCGGGAAGAGTCAAGTGCTCTCAGCAGAAGCTGCAAAGTAACCTAGGCAACCATTATCTTCTTAACCCTCATTGCAGAGGTGTCATCTACATACAGCAAAGCTAGTGGGAAAGACTAATATTGTGTTGTTCAGCTGTGTGACTTCCAAAATTAGTAATTTTGAAGTGAGCAAATAAAGTTAGAGGGTTTATTTAGGTTTTTCCCAATAACAGAATCAGTCTTCTCAACTGAATAATTTTATTCAGCTACACACCCTTCTGTCCCCAACAAGAAACTTAGGTCACAGGATTTGCTCAGGATAAGGGTTTCAGAAGACTGAAACCAGAAGAGAACAGAAAGGTAAGATGGTTGAACACATAAGCAAAAGAGAGTAAATAAAATCAGGCACCACAAAGTCTAAACCAAGTATAAAGAAATATAAAGATAGAATACAGAGGCATCAGTGAGGTTAGAGATCACATTGACTGAAAATGGCCTAGTGGTTGTGGTTGTACATGGGATGTTTGAGTTTGGAAGGAAAGTAGGTCCAGGGTGTGACAGTGGGAATAGATGATCAAAGTGAATTAATAAAAAGACATTAGAGAATATATCGCATTAGGGTTAAATTTTTTGATTGACAGGACCTTGTTTTTCCTTTCCTTTTTTTTTCTAAATCTCAGTCCTCTCCATGTCTGTGTCTGTGTCTATCTCTGGTCTCTATATCTCTCTAAGTCTCTATCTCTGTCTTCTCTATCCCTGTCTCTCTCTCTCTCCCTAGAGGACTGAACCCAAGGCCTCAAACATGCTGAGTAAGTATGCTACCACCCAGCTGCATCCTCAGCCTTCCAAATTCATTTTCTGTCTCTCTGTCTCTCTCTTCCAGAATGTACAGTGATCCTGCTGCCTCGGCCTCCTGAGTGCTGGGATTACAGGCATGAGCTGCCATGCCTGGCCTTTCTAAATTCTCTTTCATGAAATAATTATGAAAAACCAAAATGGCTTATTATCCTCTTTAATTGCCCAGCTATTGACACCTAAAATAGTCTAGTTTTTTCCATTATGTTTATTTTTCATCAAAGAATTAAGTTTGAGGGGTGAGGATATAGCTCAATGTGAAGGTCCCAGGTTCAATCTCCAACAACACCAGATAGAGAGAGAGAGAGACAGACAGAGACAGAGAGAGAGGAGAAGGGAAGGCGAAGGGGAGGGGAGGAGAAGAGGAGAAATGCAGTTTCTCTGGTCCCACTCAGATCCACTTAACTGGACATTTTGAAGGTGTGGTAAGGCAATGTTTCAACAGCCCCCCCTCCCCAGTTGATTATTACCAACACTCAAGTCTGAGAATTACAATTTATATCTCTCCTTTACAGTTGGAATTATGGGGCCCAATAGATAATAGTCAAAATTAATAACACTCTTTATGGCTAGATATTTTCCCAAAGCCTCATACAGTCATAGGTGGGGCTTTTCAGAGGCAGTTATGATTGATTTGTGGTGCAACTCTAGAATTAAAGGTGCGAGGTTTAAGGGTGGGTGATTACTAAAAGTATCCACTGATAATGTTTGGCACCGCCCTAAGCCCAGTAGCCTAGATACAATATAAGGTAGAGGAAGAGGCTTGTCTTCTCTCTCACGTACCTTGCTACTGTCTGCTCTGCATGAGCTGTTTCTCCTGTGTGATGCTCCTCTGCCATGCCACTCTTCCTTGAAGCCAACCCATGATGGACTGAAACCTCTGCAAACTGAGCTAAATAAACCTTTCCCCCTTTAACTCTGGGTGTTGTGTATCTTGTGTTAGCAATGAGAAAAGTAGCTAAGACAGACTTAAAAGGAAAAAGTAGATTTTGCCTAAAAGAGTCTTACTCAGGTCATTTAGAAGGCAACTCCACCTGGCTTCCCATTTTATGTGTATTAGTTTTCCACATCTGCTGTAACAATATACTTTACCACCAGTTTGCCAATTTCCCACAAATTTATTACCTTAAAGCTCTGTAAAGTCAGAGGACCCATATCTGTCTCATTGGGCTAAAGTCAAGGTGCCAGTTTTCCTTTCCAGAACCTGTGTCCAGGAGTCCTTCTTCCAGCCTTTCCCAGCTTCCTAAGGCCATCCGTTCACATTCCAAAACTCCTGGCAGCTGCCCTTTACCAAAGCCAGCACATGCCTATTTTTAAGTGAGAGGTTGATTTTCTTCACATTTGGGAGTCTGTACTTGTAGTTACCTATTATCTACAGTAGTCTACTGTCACTAGCATGGACTGTGTCACAGAGCATCACAACTTCCTTGGGCAACAAAAGTAAACTGCAATAAATACATTCATTACACTACTCAAATCAGGAAAAGATGACTGGTTCTTCAATGGAAAACGTGTAAAGGGAGTGTTAAACAAAAAGGTTTTCAACCTAAACCGTGGTAAGAAGACAACTGAATTAGAACAATTATTCTCCAATAAGTGTAGTCCATTTTATACAATTATTTTAAGTGCTGTAAATTTTTATCAGTCCAGAACACAGGTTTGTTTTGGCTTTTTTTGTTTGTTTGTTTTAGTTCGCTGGGTTTTTTTGGTACCGGGGGATCGAGCTCATGACTTTGCCTTTGCCACTCAGGCATTTACACCGCTGAGCTAAACCACTGACCCTTGTTTTGTTTGCTTTTAAAGGGTCTGTTTTAGCTCAGTGGCATGAGCGTCTGCCCAGTAGACACTAGGTCATGAGTTTGATCCCCAGTACCATATTTAAATAAATAAATAAATAAAAATACGGTCTTGCTATCTTGTCTAGGCCAGCCTCAAACTTGGGATCCTCCTGTGTCAGCCTCCAGAGTGCTAAAATTATAGGCCCATGGCCAGACTAGCTAGTGTGTGTATGGAGGAGGCGCTACTAGGGATTGAATACAGGACCTCTGAACTGAGTTCCATCCCCAGACTTTAAAAAATTTTTATTTTCAGACAGTTTCTCTCCACGTCATTGAACTGCCCAAACTGGGCTCAATTTGTAATCCTCCTGCCTCAGCCTCCCAGATTGCTGGTATTACCAGTGTATCATCACTCCTGGTTGAAATTTAGTTTCTTAATCGATACAGTTACTATTCTAATTAGCATTTTTCTTAAATCCATCAATATACATTCTTAAACAAAAATGAAGCCAGGCATGGTGGTACAGGCCTATAATCTCAGCACTCTGGGAACTGAGGCAGAAGGATGGGAAGTTGAAGCCCAGTCTGGGCAATTTACAACTCAGTGAGACTCTCTTTCAAAGTTAAATTTTTTTTTTTTCCCAAAGAAGCCACGGAGATACCTTAATATGAAATCCTTGCTTTCAGTTAACCAGTATCAAGCCTCCCAATTAAATCCTAAAAAGGAACTGAGCTTGTGCGGAGAGACTATGGGGAAAGTTTTAGTTTTCTGTATTTTCCAAATTTTCATCAATGAGAAAGTGAAGAACCCACATGAGGCTGAATGGTTTACCATATATTTAATGTTCCCCCAAAGTTCCATGAGCCTTCAGGCGGGCCTTTTGGGAGGTGACTCGTGTCACAGGCACTCGGGGGACCAGCTGAGAGTGAAACCCAGGGATGCAAGGACGACCTCCTCCTACTGCCTCGTCCTGAGCAATTATTCTCTGCCTCCAGTTAGGGACTGAAACCTCTACTAGCCAAAGTAAGCTTTTCCTTCTTAAAAACTATGGGTGTCGGTATTGTGACTTGGCAAGGAAAAAAGTAACTAAGACTGTCAGTCATCTCAACTTGCAAGCCCTGACTAAATCCGGCTGTGGTTTTTGCAAGGTCAGGCACATGCTGTACACGACAAAGGTCTGACTCAACCCTGCCATCCCGAGCAAACCAGCAGGCTCTTTTCTGAACGAGTATTTTGCAAAGTTGTTTTGGAATAACCAGGGGAATGACTCCCCAGGGGGGTACCTGTGATAACCCTCCTTCCCAGCTGTGCCCCTCAGGCCTGGGCACAGGGCTGCACCGCGACACTCACTCGCCGTGGCACCCGGAAAGCTTGCAGCGTTACACTACAGAGTCCCAGAGGCCCTGGTCGGGCCGGTCGCGGACCTCCGCGTCGGGCTGGGGGCGGGGCTCGTTGGGGGCGGGGCTCATCGGGGGCGGGGCCCCGGGGCCTACCCAGGCTCTTTCCGCACAGGCCCGGCTTTCTCGCCAGGGAGGGGGCGGGGTGGCTACGGGAGGAGCGAGGGTCGCGGCGCCCAACGGCCGCGGAGGTCTGTACTCGGCGGGCGGCGCGGCCATCTTACGACGCGGACTGGGCGTGCGCGCGCACGGCCTCCTCTCATCCCCTCCTCGTCACTTCGGCCCCGGTGGCCGTGCATGGGCGACGGGCGCGCAGAGCAACCGGATCAGGAGGGCAGTCGCCGTCGCTGAAGCGCGCGGCCGCGCAGGCCTAAGGAAAAGACGGGCGGGCTGGGGCCGCTCGCGCGCGCGCCTTTGTGTCGGCGCCGAGCCCGCGCCCTGTGCCTGCAGCCCGTGGCGGTCCCAGTTCCCGGCGGGCGGCGACGAGGCCGGCGGAGGGCGGCGGCGTGGGCGGAGGAAGATGGCGGCCGGCAGGAGCGGCGGCCGCGCCGGGGAGGTGGCGTTCCTGGAAGGTACGTCCGCGGCGGGGACCCGGCAGGGGCAGTGTGTGTGGGCCGAGTGCGCGGGCCCGACAGGGCGGCCGGCGGGGGAGAGGGTGCGTGCGGAAGTCCGGCCGGGGGCGGGTTGTGGGGTGGCGGCCTCTGGGTGGAGCGGACTGCGCTCCGGTCCTCGGCGTCGCGGAGACCCCGGGTCGAGGCTGGGGGTCGGGCCGCTCTCTGGACGCCTTTCCACCGCGGAACGCAGGCCTCCGACCTCGGCAGCGCGTGGCAAGCGTGCTTTCCCCGAACACCCTGCCGCAGGAGGGAGAGGATGAGGTCCGCAGCGAGGGCTTCAGGACCGTCGTGGAGAGTTGGGGCTAGCCCTCAGGCTTCTCGCGCGAGAGAAAGTTGGAGCCCGGCAGTCGATGGACCCAGCCGGGCTGACGGAGAGCTGTCTCTGTCGCTCTCAGTCTGGTTGGTGCTTGTGGCAACAGTATCGTCCGTTTGCTGTCACATACGTGAGGATCTCAGAAACACAGCGCAAATTTCATGCTGGTGTGGACCAAGAACTTTCTCATTACTTGATATGACTACGGATGTAGTGTTTACATGCGTAATTAAATTTGTAGCTATGTTGAGGGATATGAATCTGGGTAGTATTTATTAAAAATAATTTTTCTTTAGATAATTTTGCAAATTTGTTTGGTGTGTGTGTTTTGAAGCAATTTGAAACTAAGCCTAGGCTGGCCTGAATTTTTTTCTTTTTTTTTTTTAATCGGTACGGGGGGGGGCGGGACGGAACTCACGACCGCCTGCTGCTTGCAAGGCAGGTACTTATGCCGCTGAGCTAAATCCCCAGCCCCGGCTGGCCTGAATTTAACGATCTTTCTGCCTCAGTCTCTTGAGGTTACAGGAGCTGGCCACCGTCTCTGTGTGCAAAGATTTTTTTTGGCATGTGTAGTATATCTAAGTGATAATTTTAAAAATAGCTATGTGTAAAGAAGATACAATTTAATTTAAAAGTTAAGAAAGAACATCAGGCCGGCTTGGTGTAGTGCATGTGTAATCCCAGCACCCTTGGGAGGCTGATTGAGGAAGATTGCTACGAAGTTGGAGGTCAGCCTGCAATACGCAGACAGTTCAAGGCCTTTCTGCACTTTATAACGAGACTGTCTGAACAACAACAAAAAATACTAACAGAGTTTGTAAAATGTCAGAAATGGATATGCCTTGTTTTTCACTGTAGGAGCAGGTAAGGTACTTTAAACACAGTATAGTCTCGTGGGAGAATAGAAACTAATAGATGTGGGGGAAAGAAAGTTAATTTTTCCTGCTTGAGTATAATAAAGAAAAAAAGCAAGATAGCTCCTGTCAAAAAGTGATTAGTGTTTTATATGCCATCCCAAGAAAGAAAATATGGAAAGCTTGTGAGTTTTTTTCTTTTTTTTTGCCCTCTCATTCATTTTATACTACTTCCATTCCTGTTTGGTCAGAATAAGCCTGAGAGTGGTACACTTTGTGTTTCACCTGATGGTCTCTGTAGTGTTTTGGTTTTGAAATTGGGAACTCAAAAGATAGCTTTCCCATTGTTACTGTATTCATTATGAAGATGATTATATTTTTGTGCGAAGGTCAATTTCAGGTTTCTATGGGGCTGTGATTCAGTTTTAGTTCTGATGGAATGAACTAAGAGGGATAAAAGTCCAATAAAGGCAAATGATAACAACTGATATAAATTTCAAACTATTCTTTTAGTTTATTTTTAGGGAAAAGCATAAGGTGAGCATAGGAGCAAGGAAGAATTTTAGTTTCTTATAACCAGTATTCATACACTGACTTAGCTTTCTAAATGAATGATATTGACACTAATACTAATTTCCATGATGTTTTGGTTTCTTACTCTTTTTTTTCTTTTTAATCGGTACCAGGGATCGAACTCCCGACTGCAAGCTCGCAAGGCAGGCGCTTATGCCGCTGAGCTAAATCCCCAGCCCCAATAAGCTTACTCTTAATAATAAAAATATTGCACTCTAATTTGCCATACATTTTATATTACCATCTTTGTAAGTTTTCATAATATTCCCCACATTAGGGTTTTAGGATTTAATGTTAAAGCATTCACATTATTCATTTTCTGTAGTCTTCTTGAAAAGGTGAAGTAGGTATTCATTTACTCATCAAATATTTATAGCAGCCTACACTGCTAGGCACTGTACCAAGGGGAATACAACAGTGCATATGATAGTCAAGGTCCCTGCCTTCCTAGAATTTGGGTTTTTTTTTTTTTTTTTTGGTCTTTTTCCTTTTTATCGGTACCAGGGATCAAACTCACTACTGCCTGCTTGCAAGGCAGGTGCTTATGCCAGCTAAATCCCCAGACCCCTAGAATTTGTATTTCAGTAGGAGAATTTGTCAGTGAGAAAAGAATTACTCATTTTGAACAATACTGCCCAGGCTGGGTGTGGTGGTGCATATCTGTAATCTTGTTACTCTGGAGGCTAAGACAACAGGATCACGAGTTCAAGACCAACCTGGGCTATAAAGTGAGTTCAAGGCCAGCCTGAAACTATCTCAAACAAACAAGCAAACAAAAAGCCCAGTGTTACCGAAATTATGTTTTTTCTTTGTGACTGTAAAATGTCTTGATGTCACAAAAAATCATGAACTCATGTACAAACATGCATAATTTATGTTTTATTTTTCATTATGAACACTTTATATAAGTTTTTTTCCTATTTTTAGCCCTACCGAAATATAAGCTCTGTCAAAGTGATGAGTTTGTCTCTTTACTATCATATTTTTTCATCTAGAATATTTTTGTTATTGATGAAGTGATGAATTCTAAGGGTGTGATGAAAGTTGTGGGAGAATGCAAAACAATAATGGAAAACTGTTTTACAGTGTTCAAAGTCAGGAAAGACATCCTTGATGAGTGTAAAACCTTAACCAAGTTAACACCTTAACCTAGACTTCAGAGTAGATGGTACTTGTAAAGCTTCAGAGGTGATACATTGTATGGTTCCATTTGTTAAATAAAAAATCTTTAGGGCTGAAATGTAAGCAAGTGAAGGAATGGTAAGAGAGGCAGGAGATTTTTTGGGTAGGTTTGAACTGTTTAAAATTTCATTCATAAAAGAGTTTGGAGACAGTGGGATGTCATGATTTATCTAAAAACATCAGTACTGCTGTTGTTCTATATGGAATAAATTCCACATGGAATTTATTGGAGAAGAGCAAAAGAAGGGAGATTATAGTAAATAGGAGAACACTATTAGCAATCTAGCAGTGAGAGTGGCTTGGATTAGGATGGTGGTTGTAGACATGGGGAAGAGAAGTAGATTGATATGCTTGTATGTAGAGTTTACAAGACTTGTTGATGGATTGTATTTTAAGGATCAGAATAAGGAGAGGAATCAAAGATGACTCAGGGCCTGGGCCACTGGTATTGGGAGATAATGCCATCTCCTGAAGGGGTAGACTGTCAGAGAAATTAGAAGGACGTTGGCGCTGCGTGGTTATATATATTCTGAGGTGCCTATTTGACATCTTTGTTCTAAAATACGTATATATCCTTTAAGCTACTAAATGAAATTCTAATTTTAATTCCTTTTTATGGTTCATGTAGGGAAAAGGACTCTCAGTGGCTACTGTTGTACTTTGTTTGTATAACTCAAATTGTATTTTTGCTGTTGTTGGTTCAGTACTGAATGTTGGTCATAAGACCTTTGCAGTAAGCTACATTTCCTTTTTTTTTAGGCAGGTTTTGCTAAGTCCCTAACCCATTAACAAGTCTTGTAAACTCTACATACAAACAAACACATCAGTCTACCCACTTCTCTTCCACACTGTCCACTGCCACTATCCTAATCCAAGCCACTCTCACTTCTGTCCTGCCTGGGCTTAAATTTGTAATCTTTCTGCCTCAGCCTTCCAGAGTGCTGGAATTATATGTCTGTGTTCACCATACCCAACTAAAATTGTGTGAATTTCGTTAGACCATAGCCTTTATTGAAATTTTTGTTTTCCCTCTGATGCATTCCTTTTGTATCTTTTTATTTACTGTTGTCTCATTTTCTCTTTTCAGTTACTGTTATCTCTTTTCTTGTAGATTTTTTTGGGTGGGTTTGTCTTTACACATTCATCCAACATATTGATTGAGCATCTGTTTTGTTGTAGGCACTGTGCTGAGGGGCACATCAGTATAGGGCACAGGGAGAAGAAAGCATGATTTCTCTGTGGAGTCTTCAGTGTAGTGAGGAGAATCAATAATCAAGAGCAACTTGTAAAATTACAACTTTTAAGTACAAGAAAGAGTTATTTATAATAATGAGAATTTGATTTAATCAAGATGATTTGATTAGGAGAAATGAGAAGACTTTTTAGGCAGAGGGAATCAAATGGAAGCGCCACATGTTTGAAGGATGAGAAAAAAAATTTTTTTTTCAGAAAACTTTAGAGGGACAAGAAATGATAATTGAGAGAAACCAATTAGGAGATGATTGCAGTGTAGGGCAAAGATGATGCTAACTTGTTTTCTAACTTTCCTTTTGTTATTCTCCCCCTTTTCTCCTTTGTGAATGTTTTAGTAAATCTGCTCACTTGACATTTATTTCTTCTTTTTCTGTATGTACTTATTTATATCTTTCTTTGCCTTTTTTCCATACCATCTGAATTGCTTTACCTGTGTTCTGGACACCACTCTACCCTTTCTTTTTGAGACAGGGTCTAACGATGTAATTAAGATTGGCCTTCAACTCAATTGTGTAGTCCAGGTTGGACTCAAACTTCACTGTGATCCTCCTGCCCCAGCATCCCGAATATTGGGATTACAGGCATGTGTCACTACACCTGTCAGGTTTTTTTTTCATGAAATAACTTTTTCTACCTTCTCTTTCTAAGGTACATAAATTACTATTTGTTTTTCTTTAGTTTGAGGTCTCTCTCCACTTGTGAACTTTGTCCACTAGGTTGAAAAGACTGAAGTTAAACACTTGCACAGTTGTCCTCTACACGAACAAAAATACTTGTCAACAAATGAAGTGTTTGCCATTTACCCTTAGTCATACTCTTATGTAAATTTAGTTCAAAATCCAAGCAGTTTGCCAGTTTTACTGATGACAGTAGACATTCCATACTATTATCTCTTCAACTAAAGCAAAGTTTCATCAAAATAATTGGCAATGCATGGGGATGAGCAAGATCTTTAGCCTTTGTCTACTCACTGAGGAGTATAAAAACTCCATTTAGCTCTGTTCCTTTTTCTTTTTTCCCCCTACTTCTGGAAACTACATCCTGGTGTTATTCCTTGTTTATTCTGTACTTAGATATGTTTATTTCCTGAATATATCCCATTTAAAGTGATACATTTTATACTAATTTTTTTTCCTTGTACTGGGGCTGTCTCACTTGCTAAGCATGTGCTCTACCATTGAGCTATACCCAGGGCCCTGAAGTGATACATCTTATTTATCATTTGATTTCATGTACTCATATGAAACAGAAGAATAGAGCCTTGCTTAGAAATAGTGATTTTTACCAGGAATGTATTGAGAGTA